TTGAGAAACCCATCATTGATAATATTCTGATAGTCCGTGATTTTCCTGAGGTATTTCCTGGTGATATTCCGGAATTGCCCCCGGTCAGAGAAGTTGAATTCTCTATTGACTTGATACCTGGAACAGGACCCATCTCTATAGCTCCTTATAGGATGGCACCGTTGGAACTGGCTGAGTTGAAAAAACAGGTTGAGGATTTGTTGGCAAAGAAATTCATTCGCCCTAGTGTCTCACCGTGGGGTGCACCAGCTTTGTTGGTTAAGAAGAAAGATGGGAGTATGAGGTTGTGCAGCGATTATAGACAGTTGAACAAGGTCACCATCAAGAACAAGTATCCATTGCCTAGGATTGATGACTTGATGGATCAGTTGAGAGGAGCAGTGGTATTTTCAAAAATTGGCTTTCGGTCTGGTTATCACCAACTTCGAGTAAAATCGGAGGATATTCCTAAAACTGCTTTTAGGACGAGGTATGGGCATTTTGAGTATTTGGTGATGCCCTTTGGTGTGACGAATGCCCCAACAATATTTACCGACTACATGAATCGGATTTTTCATCCGTACTTGGATTCATTCGTGGTGGTATTTATTGATGACATTCTAGTTTACTCCAAGAGCCGAGAGGAAAAAGTGGAGCACCTGAAAATTGTTCTAGATCTTATGAGTAAGAATCGGCTGTATGCGAAGTTGTGAAAATGTGATTTCTGGTTGGAATCAGTGAACTTCCTTGGACATGTGATATCCCAGGAAGGAGTGGCTGTGGACCCTTCTAAGGTCGAGGCAGTGATGGAATGGGCGGTGCCCAAGTCAGTTACTGAAATCATGAGTTTTCTGGGCTTGGCTGGTTACTACAGAAAGTTCATAGAGCGGTCTTCCAAGTTGGCATTACCCCTAACCAAACTTACCAGAAAATGGGAATCGTATGTGTGGATGATAGGTTGTGAAGAAAGTTTTCAAGAGTTGAAGCGGAGGTTGACTACCGCACTAGTATTGGGTCTTCCTTGTACCGATCAGGATTTTAGTGTTTATTGTGATGCTTCCAAGCAAGGTTTGGGTTTTGTTTTGATGCAGGAAGGGAAGGTTGTTTCCTATGCTTCCCGGCAGTTGAGAACGCACGAGCAAAACTACCCTACACATGACTTGGAACTAGCCGCGGTGGTCTTTGCATTGAAAATCTGGAGACATCATCTTTATGGTGTAAGATTTGAGGTGTACAGCGATCACAAGAGTTTGAAATGTCTGTTTGATCAAAAGGAACTGATCATGAGACGGAGGAGGTGGATGGAGTTCCTTAAGGACTATGATTTTGGATTGCAGTATCATCTGGGAAAGGCCAATGTGGTAGTCGATGCTTTAAGTCGGAAGTCCTTACATATGTCGGATTTGATGGTTCGCGAAGAGAAACTAATTAAGGAGTTCAGGGATATGAACTTGGCAGTTCAAGTGGGACTCCATAGCATGATGTTAGGAATGCTTAAGGTCACCAATGAATTGTTTGACCATATCAGAATGATGCAAGTTGAGGATCAAGAGTTGAAGGTCAAACGCGATTTGATGGCTAGTGGGAAGGATACTGATTTTGAATCGGACTCTAGTGGGATGTTGCGATACAAGGGAAGGGTGTGTGTGCCTCTTGATGCTAAATTGCGAAAGAGTATTATGGAAGAGTCACACAAAAGTAAAATGAGTTTTCACTCGGGAACTACAAAGATGTACCAAGATCTGAAAAAGCTGTTTTGGTGGTCTGGGATGAAAAAGGATGTGGCTCTGTATGTCTCGAGTTGTCTCGTCTATAAGAAAGCCAAGATTGAGCATCATCGGCCAGCGGGGGAGTTATAGTCACTAGAGATTCCTGTTTGGAAGTGGGATAGTATCTCCATGGATTTTGTATCGGGTTTTCCAAAGACTCAAAGAGGGTATGACTCAATATGGGTAATAGTAGACCGTCTGACGAAGTCTGCTCATTTCTTGCCGATGAACATGAAATATTCCTTAGAGGGATTGGCTGAATTGTATATCAAGGAGATCGTTAGGTTGCATGGGATACCGTCGAGCATTGTGTCGGATAGGGATCCCCGTTTCACTTCAAACTTTTGGACTAGTTTGCAGTCCGCTTTGGGGACTAAGTTGAAACTGAGTTCAGCTTATCATCCACAAACGGATGGTCAACATCCACAAACGTATGGTTGAATAATGCAATATAAGTTATTTATTTGCTATTTGGAATGAATGACTAACATTGTGTTATGTGGTGGGAATGAGGAAATATCCTAAGTTTGGAGGTGGTGCCGGTGGAACTTACGAAGTCGCCAAAAACCAAACTCAACACTCACCGAGGTAAGGATAAGTCTTTAATTTATGCATTGTGTTGGAAAATGCGTGGCTTTTCTGTATGGATAATGAATAAAATGTGAATCACTTAGTCATTATGAACATATATGGGTATGTTGATAATGGTGAGAAGTGAATTTACGGTTTATGTATTGGTGGAGTACCAATGTAAATAAGACTCGAAATGAAATGATGAAATGTAAATCACTTTGTAGTTATAAGCATATGTGGATATGTTTGTAATGATGTCGGGTGTATTTATTATTTTTGTATTGGTGGAGTGCCAATGGAAATAAAACTCGGAATAAAGCAATAAATTGTAAGTCACTTTGTAGTTACAAGCATATACGATATGTTGTAATGATGTCGGGTGCATTTATTGACTATGTATTGGTGGAGTGCCAATGGAAATAAAACTCGGAATAAAGCAATAAATTGTAAGTCACTTTGTAGTTACAAGCATATACGATATGTTGTAATGATGTCAGGTGCATTTATTGACTATGTTGTATACGATATCAAATCAACAACGCTCATTGAAGAAAGTGCTATATAAGATATCACATCGACAACGTACACAACAAAAGGAGTTGTCAAATAAATTCCAATTAAAAGTGAAGTAAAAAGGAGGGCTGTTAAAGATAACTAATTCAAGCCATCGCTTATTCAACAACGCTCATTCAAGAATGTGTTGTTGATTTTATATCTACTTATCAATATTAACAGTGCTCGCTTAACCAGGTGTTGTCTATGTTCCTCCGCCTCATATTTAAAAGCATAGTTCTAGGAAGCGTTGTTCAAGGAATGTTGTTAGAAACGATTTATGGCGATTGGGTTAGTGCAATATGAACCTATATCATGCAGATCAATAGTAACATCCAAAAAGTCATCATTATAAGCACTACACATTTCATAATCAGTGCATACATGAAAAGTGTGTGAGGCTATCCATAATGAAGAATCAGAATCATGAATAAAATCAGAGATATGCTCATTAATCAACTCATTAAGCAAATCAACATGAAATACAAAATGGTCCTCGGATGGATGCTTCATAACATCAAAAAAGTTAAACCGAACCACAATATTATCAAATTCTAAGGAAAGTTGCCATCATGGACATCTATCTTGGTTCGAGTTGTTCTTAAAAATGGCCTCCCCAAAATAATAGGAACTGTGTTACGGGAGGATGCCTCTTCGATATCTAGTATGTAAAAATCAACAGGGAATATAAGTTCACCAACCCGAACCAAGACATCCTCTATCGGACCAGCAAGATAAGCAGTACTCCTATTTCCTAATTAAATTACTACAACAGTAGGCTTTAAAGGTCCAAGTGACAGAGACATAAAAACAGACATAGACATAACATTAATTGAAGCTACTAAGTCTAGCATGACATTCTCAAATTTTCTATTACCTATGATGCAAAATACAGTAAATGTACCTAGGTCCTTACATTTTTCAAGAATGTGAGGAATAGGTTTACCAATGAGTGCATTAATTACCATGCTAATCGTTTCATTACCTTTAAGCTTCATTTTGCGAGTGCACAACTGATTTAGGAACTTTACATATCTTGGAATCTGCTTGATGGCTTCAAGTAGAGGTATGTTCACCTCAACCTCTCTAAATGTGTCCAAGATCTCCTTGTCGACCTCTTCCATTTTCTTGTTTGGAATGATGTTTGGGGGAAATGAAAGAGGAATGGGAGGTAGTTGTTGTGAAATACTCGAAAACGGTGTAGTTGCATGAATGAGTTTGCCAATGTCATCAACCTATTTTAAAACAAAATATGGTGTAGATGTTGGCAATTCAGTCTGCTTGCCTAACCTTAGGGCGATGGAACTCACATTTTTCGGGTTATTCATAATCTGAGAAGGTAACTTGTCAGAATTCTGCAACTACAATGTGTTCAGTGAAGTAGCCATCTATCCCATTTGTGTGGTCAGACTCTGAATGGAAGCATTGGTTTCTTGCTGGAACTGCATGTTCTGCATTGTCATCTGTCTGACCAACTATTCCAATGAAGGTTCACTAGGTGCAAGTGGAGGATTATTAATCACTTGTTGTTGCATCTGTTGTTGAATTTGTGGGGCACATATGGTCTACTATATCCAGCATTGTTGTTCTGAAATGGTGCATTATGAGGTTGTTGTTGTGTGTGATCAAACCACTTAAGATTTGGATGATTTCTCCAACCATGGTTGTATCTGCTTGTAGATGGATCATAATTTTGCTGTTGTTGTTGAGGTCTATTGTTGTAGATGATAGCATAAGCCCCATGATGGTCACTAGTTCTTGGCTCAAGTAGAGAAGGACAAACATCACTGTAATGGTCAGGTGAGGTTTAAATACCATGTACTCTTGCAATTGGTTTTTATGTTGATTCATGGCTAATTGAGTGACTAATGTGGTGAGGGAATCAATTTTTCTCTCATGCTTTTCTTGCCTCACTGAATCAGTCCCAACACCATGCACTCATCTCACAACTATATCATCATTGCTCCTTGCATTGAACTGTTGAGAGTTGGAAGCCATCTTCTCAATCAAACTTCTGGCTTCAAAAGGAGTCATGCCTCCAAGTGCACCTCCACTAGCTGCATCAATAATACTCATGTCCATGTTGTTCAAACCCTCATAAAAATATTGGAGTATGAGTTGCTCTAAAATCTGATGATGGGGGCAACTTGCACACAACCTTTTGAATCTCCCCCAATACTCATATAAGCTTTCACCATGTTGATGCCTAATCCATTAAATATCTTTTCTGATTGCAGTGGTCCTGAAGGCAAGGAAGAATTTACCAAGGAATTTCTTCTTCAGGTCACCCCAACTTGTAATGGATCCAAGAGCCAAGTAATACAACTAGTCATTTGAAGGGCCTACAACTGAATGAGAGAATGCCTTCAGGGTTGAAAAGACAATGTGGAACTCCTTGAGATACTTATGAGGATCCTCACCTGCAAGTCCATTAAACTTAGGCAACAAATAGATTAGTCCAATTTTAAGTACTATGGCACATCCTCATTGGGATACTGAATGTGAAAGCTATCATAGGTGAAATCAAGTGCAACCAACTCCCTTAATGTCCTCTCACGGGGACCAGGAGGAGTAGGTGGTTGAGCCATATTTTCAGAGTGCACAAAATGCTCAAAATGCTCATAATCAGAATATGCCACATAATGCACAAAATCACTATATTGTACAGAATGCCCAGAAACAGAATCATTGTCAGCTACACTATGGAAAGGTAAAGTCCTATTTTTCTAACAAACCTATGATATGTTCTATCAATTTCAGGATTTATTGGATGCAAATGGCATGTATTTCCCCTAGTCATGCATTATAGTCAACAATAGTAACAAAACAAGGCAGTAATGAAAATGCATGTTATAATTGTGTAATAAATCAAGTCTTTTCATCAATAACATTCTAAAATAATATATAACATGTGAAAAAAGTTTCAATGAAAAATACAAAGTGATACTATTCTAAAATTGAAAAACAAATTCACTATAAACCTTATAAAATAAAAAAGAAATAGTAAAAAGGGTGTTTTTGGATTTTCGAGTGGAGATGACAAACGTAGTGTGTCACAATGGATAGAACATAAAATTATACCCAAAATGAATATATTATATGTCCAATTCTGATATAGAGATCCAAAGTTTTGCCAAAAATAGAATTTCGGCTAACCACTATTCACTGCCTATGTGTATCTTACAAACAACAACTTGGAAAGTGATTGTGTTTCTTCTAGAGTTAAATGTGGGATGAAACAAGTGTGGAAACAAAATTTCATGCAAAAATTCCACACACAACTATATAAAAGCAGAATGGAAAGAGGGAAAATGAGAAATGTATTCTAATGCAATCTTAAATGTGTAATGTCAAAGTGCCCCCCTTCAAAACTGAAATCCTATGTGTTAAAAAGAGTAAAAAGGAAATGGGCCCAAAACAATGGGCCCAAAACCCAAATAGAATTAAAAATCGTAAAACAATATACAATCTTCACTTTAGCACACATCCTCCACTTGTAATCCCCAAAATATCCTTGGTGCCAAATATGACATGGAAATTGTAAGGACCCAAATTCTACCCTTGAGAATTTTTCCTTATTTTATTCCCTTTACATACATTTTCCTATAAGTTATAATCACAAATTCCAAAACGCAACATTCACATACACATTCATTTAACAGAAGATCATAATTCATATTAATATATCCCGGTAACTACCGCATACAACTAGCTATGGGTTTCTAAAATACCCATAGCTACAAATATCCACAGTTACAATTATCCATGTCTATAAACATGACCAAATATCCTACCCATGGTTACAAATAGTCAGCTCAAAATATAATCAGTTAGGTTACAAAACAATGAAGATAAGGACTTCGAAACTAAAAGCCTCTAAACTCCTAATCCAGACATCCTTAAATCTCCCGCCTACCTACAATGAGATTAACATTGGTAATACACAAAAAAACACAAAGGAGTAAGTTGTTAAATCAATAAATGCCAATTTACATTAATCCACATTTTAATAAGGTTAAGTAAACAATTTAGAACCAAATATACTTAAAACCATTTCCAACGTTTATACTTTTGAAATCATGCTACATAACTTGAGCCAAAGTTTGCTACACCGCTTGAGCCAAAGCATGCTACATAGCTTGAGCCAAAGCTTGCTACATCGCTTGAGCCAAAGCTTGCTACATCGCTTGAGCCAAAGCTTTCTACATCGCTTGAGCCAAAGCTTGCTACATCGCTTGAGCCAAAGCATTGCTACATCGCTTGAGCCAAAGCTTGCTACATCGCTTGAGCCAAAGCTTGCTACATCGCTTGAGCCAAAGCTTGCTACATTGCTTGAGCCAAAGCATTACTACATCGCTTGAGCCAATTATTTCTACATCGCTTGAGCCAAAACTTGCTACATCGCTTGAGCTAAAGCTTGCTACATCGCTTGAGCCAAAGCTTGCTAAATAACTTGACCAAAGTCGCTATACCTTTTCGGTTAGCTAAAATATACTTTCTTTTTGAAAATCATGCGACATTACTTGAGCCAAAGTTCGCTACATTGCTTGAGCCGAAGCTTGCTACATCACTTGAGCCAAAGTTTTCTACATCACTTGAGCCAAAGTCGCTAACCAATCATGGTCGGCTAAAAATGAGTTTTCTTTTCATTGACACTCCATCAACTCATAAACATTAAATCCACACCATCGTCATTATAAACATACCCATATATGTTTATAATAAAAAAGTGGTTTACAACTTGATTCATTATTCACAACCAGAAAATCCACGCATTTTATAACACAATGCATAAGTTAAAGACTTATCCTTACCTTGGTGAGTGTTGGGTTTGGTTCTTGGTAATTTCGCAAGTTCCACCGACACCGCCGCCAACTTTAGGATCTTTCCTCATTCCCACCATATAACACAATGTTAGTCATTTATTAAAAATATCACATAAACAACTTATATTGTATTATTTAACCATACAAGATATTTAACATATTTTCAATGTTTCTAAACTACTTTCATCATAAGTTTACAAACATCTAAAACATACATATTCATCTCTTATTTCAACATTAGAATGCTTAATAATCTTCTACATCTAGCATTTTATCCATTTCCCCCTTTAACCGCATTTTCTCTTTAGGGTTTTGGGATCTCCATGAATCAACCCACAAACCCTTTCCATTCTTGAAATACCAACTCTAAACCAAGAGTTTACAATAGAAAAACAACATAAAACAAACCATAACTCAAAAGGGTGAGTTTCTGTGGTTTCTCACATTTTGAGAAGAGATCCAACATACCAAAAACAAGTTTCAAAGGGAAGAAGAGAGTTTGAATCAAGAGTTTTACCTCTTCTCAAGCTTTTAGATGAGTATCAAAGCTCCTTGCCCTTGGAAAACCTCTCTTCTCTCACCTCTCTTCAATTTCTAACCCTAAAATGTGTTTGGGGTTTCTCATTTAATGAAAACTTGTCGAGTTCTCGCTTAAGCGAGTCCATTCTCGCTCAAGCGAGAAAATCCCGCCCATTTTAAAAACTCAGATCTGACCCTCTCGCCTAGGCGAGGGAACTCTCACTCAAGCGAGGCAACCCTCGCTCAAGCGAGGATCTTATAGCCTCGTCAAGTCCAAAATGTCACTTTTCTTGCCCAGCCGAGACAACTCTCGCTCTGACGATACCACTCTCTCTCAAGCGAGGCAACTCTCGCTCAAGCAAGAATCCTTCAGTATAGCCCAAGATTTTACCCTCCTAGGTGAGCCTTTCTCGCCTAGGCGACAATCCCTCGCTCAAGCGAGAACCCTAGGACTGATACTATAATTTAAAGACTTAATTTGAGGGTGTCACACCCATACCAACTCGGGTCCCAATACTAAGTTCTCCACAATTTCAAACCAACTCACTAGAGTTCGGCACTTCCTACCATACAATGCCTCATAGGGTGCCATCCCAATACACGAATGGAAGCTATTGTTGTAGGTAAATTCAATCAAAGGCAACATGCTATCCCAACTACTCGGTTGTTCCAAAAAACAATCCCTCAAAAGATCCTCCAACGATTGTATGGTCCTTCCCGATTGACCATCCGTTTGTGGATGATAAGCTGAACTAAATTTCAACTTAGTTCCCAACGCGGACTGCAAGTTATTCCAAAAGTTTGAAGTGAAACGAGGATCACTATCTGATACAATGCTCGACGGTATCTCATGCAAACGAACTATTTCCCGGATATATAGTTCCGCCAATCGCTCCAAAGAGTATTTCATGTTCATCGGTAAAAAGTGTGCAGACTTAGTCAACTGATCCACTATTACCCATATCGAATCATACCCTTTCAGTGTCTTTGGAAACCCGACACAAAATCCATAGAGATACTATCCCACTTCCACACGTGAATCTCTAGAGACTGTAACTCTCCCGCTGGCTGCTGATGCTCAATCTTAGCTTTCTGACAGATGAGACAACTCGAGACATACAAAGCTGTAAGGACCCGATTTTCTTAACTCGAAAATTCTCTTTTAAAATCCTTATTCATGAAAGTGAAGTGATTACTTTTGAAAGACATTACTCAAACAGTTTGGAAACTTGAGTGAATACGTTTATAAATTTACAAGGCGGAAATATTCCAAACACCTTTTCATTTCAAAAGCATGTCATTACACTTCCGTTCAAATACATCCTTTATACAATTACACTTTCTCAAAAGTACCTTGAATACAAACATTAGATCCACTTCATTATACACTTACAAGAAAGTTGTTTATACATGAATTCACTATGTTCATATAACATATCAATTACATATTATCCACTACTCTATCATGTACTCTTCTCCGCAAGCGTCCAATGCGCTACCTCCACAACCTGAACCCAAATATACAACACATACAAGGAAAGACAGAGGGAGTAAGAACCAACTACGGTGACCGTAGCGTGGATTTACATGGAGTAATAACATTAAAGTATTAAAACTATACACATCTAACATCAATCATGATAATCATATATCAATCAACACATATTATCCATATTCACCCTATAGTACACATATATCCCATACTATATGTGTTCTATAGTGTGCAAATTTATTCATCACATATTATCCATATTCACCCTCTAGTACACATATATCCTATACTATATGTGTTCTATAGTGTGCATACTTATTTATCACATATTATCCATATTCACCCTATAGTACACATACATCCCATACTATATGTGTTCTATAGTGTGCATATTTA